TTCGAGGTCTCCCGGTATACTGCGGTGTCTGTCACCCCAGCATTCAAGGTCTTTCAAGAGCTATCTTGACAAGTGGCCTGCTCACACTGGCCCCTCCCCCCCCAGCCTCTCTTCAGGGTCACAGTCCCTACACAGGCAGCCCCCGCTGATCCCAGCTGTGCTCCCATCTACCCTCCCCACAGCAGCCAGATGGAGCTGATTGTTGCTGGATCATTAGGACTCTCCAGCGCCCTGGGATGGAGTTGGAGCTCTCAGCCTGGCAGCTGGCCTCCACCCACCTCTTGAGCCCACTCCTCACCATTCCCCTTCCCGCCACACTGTGCATTAGCCACACAGAACCTCAGCCAGTTCTTCTAGTGTACAATCTGCTCTCTGCATTTCTTGGCTTTTGTACACGAGGTTCCCTCTCTCTGGAAGACCTTCTCTTCCCCTTGTTCTCTTATTATTACCCATCAAGTGTCCTCTCCTTCAAGGCAGGACCTACATAATTTGTGGGCCCCACTGCCAAATGATATGTGGAGATCCTTGTTCAAAACTTATTAAGAATTTCAAGATGGTACAAGCAGGGTATTAAACCAAACTCAGCATCCTTCTAAGCACTGGGGCCCTGGGTGATTGCCTTCTGTCAGGAAATCTTCTTAGACTCTCCCTACCTCCTACCTCAGATTGTCAGGAGTCTCCTGTGGGATTCCCATAGTCCTTTGAGCTTCTGGAAAAATATGCCTCAGTCATTCTTGCCTGTTCTTCCCTCATCACAACGCCAATCACTCTGGGAAGCCACCGTTTGGTGAATACCTGTTTTCTCCACTAGATGGAGCTCTTGGCAGTGGAGCGTGGGACTGCCGTGGTCCAGTACCCAAGTCGCTTCACACAGGTCAGGCCAACACCAAGCATGTCACATCCTTTTTCACAGTGCTTGTATCTGGGTACAAGTAAGAGAGGGCACAGCAGCTAGGGAAGAATCAAAGAAGCAAGCCATGCCCAGGTTCAACACAGAAGAAGAAAAATAACCCTTTTTGAGAGGACTTCTTTATCTGATTTTCCCCCATCTGTGCCCACGTTAAGAGCTGCGAAAGCTTGGCACTACTTGAAGCCTTGCAAGGGTTCACAGGTGACCCCAAACACTCAGGGCCTGTATCAGATTTAGCCACACCAGGACACAGGAGTCGGATCTGATAACATGAAGACAGGAAAGTAGTTCGTAGTGATTGCAGGACTACAGTCACTTCAAGAAAATAATCCACACTAGCCTCAGCATCTTCCAAACCCTGCCTTTCCTCCCAAGTCCCGTCTCAGGGCAACTCCCACTAAACCTCCTGAGCGTTCCTTCCCTCCCCCTCCCCCCTCCTCTAACTCCACCACGGTCCAGCCTTGGTCACCCTGGCTTCTGACACTGTCCTTCCCCTGGGCTCCCAGCCTCAGCCTCCCTTCTGGTCCCAGGGCTCTTCCTGAGACCAAACCTGATCCTCCCCTGTATAGAGCCCTCCATGGTTCCCCAGGGGCCTCGGGACAGAGTTTGAGCTCAGCCTTGCCCACCCCCAGCCCCATCTCTAGCATGTATATTCCCCATCTCAGGCTGGAAGGAAATGCCACTTCCTGAAAGGCTCACACTTTTATATTAGATGCCTTTCCTCAAATACTCCAGTATGCCCAAGGAATCTGGTCTCAAAGATGTGCAGGGCAATCTCCAAAGCCACATGGAAGGTGGGCAATGAAAAAGGTAGCACTCCCAGAGCTCAGGAAATCTGCAGGCTCAGTGGGACAGTGTTCAGCTAAACTTTAGCTTTAAATTCTGGATACATGTGATCAGTTGACCATGGTCACATTGTTTCTGCAGGGGCGGGGGGAGGTGGTGGTGGAGGGATGGTCCAGACATCCTGCGAGGGAAGTGTAGGGTGGCACGCTAGAGGGTCCCCCCTGCCCCATGTCCCTCCTCCCACCCTCCCTGCTTCCAGTCTGCTGTGTCCCCCTTCTAGCCCCAGTTTCCTGAGAGTCCACACTACCCCTGACCAGCCACAGCCTCTGGGATCAGGAAGTACTGTTTTCTCCACTGACTGCCTAGCACTTGGCCGTGGAAAAAAGTCTTCATTCCCGTGCTTCAGGGAAATCCGTTCCACAGAGTTAGAGCTTTGGATAGCAGACGGCCCCCACACTCCTCTTCCAAGGAGGAAGGTCCAGTCTCTGCACTCCTGCCTCAGAACCAGGCGGTGGGACTGTGCTTCATACGGGCTGCTTCTGTGTAGGGGATGGTCCTTTCACCTCTCTCTTGAATCCATCCAGTTCAGGCACTGACCTGGCCCAGGCCACCCCCCTGCCTAGACCATCACAGCAGCATCCTCACTGGTTGACCCGCTTCTCCCTTGTGCTCACAGTCCGTTCGCCACGTGCACACAGACCCTCTGGAGCTTCTTTGAGATCAGGGAGCCCTACTCCCTTCACTGCTTGAAACTCTCTGATGCCTTCTCATGCCACTGAGAATAAAATCCAGACTCCCTGCATCATCTGCCCCTTGCCACTTTCCAGCTTTGACCCTACATCTCTCCCTTCTCCTTCACTGGCTTTCTTCAGTCCCTTTTAGATACCATACATCCTTCAGCCCCAGAACTTCTGCACAGGCTGGGCCCCTCACATGAAATGCCCTTCCCAGCCCCTGCGTAGTTAGCCTGGGCACAATATTCAGGTCTCAGCTAAGGAGTTACTTCCTCCAGGAAGCCGCCCTCAAGCTCTCTGCCTGGGCCAGGGCTCCCTGGTATAGGATCTCATGACCCCATGTACCTCTCCTGCACAGCTCTCCTTGCCATCACGAACGCATTTGCTTGTGTGGTTATTTAACGTTGGCGTCCCCACCAAATGGTGTCATTTTCTCAGCACCGAGTTCCAAGCCCATCGCACACAGTAGGCACTCTCATCAAGAGATTTATGAACAGTGCCCTCTCCTCCCCCTCATGGTAGCAACTGGTATTTTGTAGCTGGCACTAAGGACCCAATCCTCCCACTCTCTAGGTCCCCTTTCCCAAGATTTATCACTCGCGGTCCCTGACCTGGGCTCTCAGCCACCAGAGAGTACCAAACAAGAGGGAGACCTTCATGATGCTGCTGGTGGGCTGATGAGTCAGACCAGGTCCCCAGGACTCGGATTTGTTCCAAGGCTGATGAAGTATCATTTCCAAGACCTGCACTCACCAAGCAAGTTGGAGCAGAATCTAGGATCTGCATTCCGTGAGGATAAGGCCATATGCACCAGGTCACCAGAATGGCCAGTCCAGCCTTGGAGTCCCCTTCAGCATGCCTCTCACACCAGCACCACTCCAGAGAAGGCTGACGGGACCCAAATTCCCTCCACGTCACTACCTCTGGATCCACCACTAGGGATGCCCCGAGACCAGGATGCACCACTCTTTTTACTGCCAAGCCCACTCCTACATTTCCTGGACTCGGAGTTTGCTCCTCCAAACTCTCCAGCCCTGGTACCTGAGAGGGCTCTAGAGCATTGCATTGCTCTAGAGTCAAGACCAGCCCTGGCTGGAGACATGGGTTCCAAACAACACGAGGAAGGACCTTCATGATGCTGCTGGTGGATTGGTGAGTCAGACCAGGTCCCCGGGACTCAGATTTTCCCAAACCTGATGAAGTACCGTTTCCAAGGCTCCAGGCCCACAGAATACCAGGGTCTGCAGGTCCTATCCACACTTTTTTTTACCTCTGCTGTCATCTCAGCAGAGCCCGGACCTGCTTCAACTTTCTTTCAACTTCAACACTTCTCACTGGGGTCACGTTTGAATCATTAAACACAACCGTCACCTGCACCTGACTTGCCTGCTTTTTCTCCCCCTGCTGCTCCTGTTTAGTCTTCGTTAGATTTTCCTTCGCCTGTCCCCTGAATATGGAAACTCAGTGGTTGGGCCCTGGAACCCTTCCTAGAGGCTGTCTCACTCACCCTAGTACCTCGTTACCTCAGTTCCCCATCTCTGCTGACGAAGTCCTCCTTTCTGTTCCCAGTCCCAGCCTGAGACGGGGGGAGGGGGGTCCTGTGGCCTCCTGGACACCACCCTCTGGACATCCTCTGAGCCCCTCACTGGGTTCCACACTGACCTCAGCATCTCCCTCAAAGCTGCCCCTCCTCCCTGCCCCTGCATCAGGGCAGCCCCAAGTCCCCTTCCCTGGGCAGAGCCCTGGGTCTCTCACCCTAGATGCCTCTAGACCCCATGGCTCCTCAGGCCACAGCCCACCCACTTGGCTTCCTGAGTGTCTCTCCCCAACTGGCCCCCCTTCCATCAGCCCTGCCCTGGTCCAGCTCTGGCTTCTTCCTGGACTCCCAGCGTCAGTCTCCCACTTTGGTCCACCCTCCTTATGGTGGCTACATGGATCTTCCTAAAACTCAAACCTGACCCTGTCCTTCCTCTGCATACAGTCCTCCATGGTTCCCTGATTCCCTGATACCATCCATCAGCCCAGAGTCTGAGCTCCTCAGCCTGGAGGTCCTGGTCCCTGCCCACCCTCCTGCCTCATTTCTCCCACAGTGCCTGGTGCCATACCCTCTGCCTGGAACAGCCTTCCCTCTGCTCCTTGCCCAATTATCTCCTTCAGGTGTCATTCTCAGATCACACATCTCATCCCCCAGGAGCCCCACCCCCAGACTACACCTTAGGCTGTCGGGCACCTCCTGTGGCCTTCCACGACCTTCTAGGCTTTCCTCATCACAGAACTGCTCATGCTGGGCTATCAATTTCTGGGCATGTTTTTCCCCTCAGTGAACTATAAGCCCCCTGAGGGCAAGGCTCAAGGCTGTCTGGGTCACCGTAGCATTGCTTAGCAAGGGCAAACCCAGAGTAGATGTTTAAGGAAAGTCTGTTGACTGAATGGATGGCCACCTTTGGCCTCCCAGGGTTCTCAGACACAACTGTAGGGGTGGGCTTCACCCCTGAGGAGACATTCCCCAGCTCCAGACCCCTGCGTGAGCCCTCCGACCCCCACAGACGGAGACAAGGGCAAGGGCCCAGGCCCAAGCTTGGAAAAATAGGACTTTCTTGTTGTGCCCTGGTACCCCAACACCCTCCCCATCAGAGTTTTAAAAACCATGAGCAATTTGGTGAGTCTGTGGCCAGGCCCCATGATGTGCCAGGGTCCTGGTGCTGCTGGGCCGGAGGGGCCGTGGAAGTGGGCATGTGGCTAGGGGCCCACAGGTTCGTGGCTGGGTCCCCAGGGCTCGCAGTCCAGCTGGACTACGGTGTGAGCCCTGGGCGCGGAGGACTCAGAGGTTGGCAGGGCTGGCGTGGGGCCGAGGGCGCCGTTCGTCTGGGAGCAAACGCTGCTGACAGGTGCAGGCACCTTGGCCTTGCCAGGGGGCTGGCCTCCGTGCACCTTGTAGCGCATGAGTAGCACGAAGATGAAGACAAGTACCGACGCCACGATGACACCGCCCAGTGCAATGATCATAGTGCCACCCAGGAAGGGTGCGTGCGGGGCTCCGCACGGCCGCAGCGCTGGCTCCGTGGAGAAGTGGGCACACCCCACTGGCCGCGTGGCCGTCAGCCCTGTGGCGCTGTCCTCGTAGACCGCTAGCACGCACAGATCGTAGGAACGGCCTGACCCCAGGTCAGTCAACAGGAATGAGTGGCTGTCCGCCGGGATCATCCTAAAGGGACAGGCAGGTAGGGGTCAGGCCTCTGGCTGCCCAGCACCCACACACGCTTTCTCCCCGCAGCCTACGTCCTACAGGGCTGGAGTCTCTCCAGTGTGCTGCCTCATTTTGCTCTAGCCCACTTAGTTCCCTCCAACTACTATCCCAATTGCCTTTGGTCGCCGTTCTCTTTGAACCCACCACTTGAGTTTCCGTTAGCCGACTGATTGATATTCCTCAGTCTGTTCCTCACCATTCTGTCTCCCTGTATGTAGCCAGCTGCCCGTTTCCCAGTCTGACTTCACGCTCTAGCCTGCTGCCCGAGTTCCTCTAGGCCCGCTGCCCACCTCCCCTCCGTTTTGCTGCCCAGTTTCACTCTAGCCTCACTGCCCAATTTCTCCGCAGCTTACCACTTGATTTCTCCAAAGCCTGTTTCATACCCACCTGTTTCATATCCAATTCCCCACCTGTGCTGCCATTCAATTTCTCTCCACCTGGAGTCCAATCTCCGTCTTGCTCCACTGCCCAATTTTGCTCTGGTCGCTGCTTGATTTCACTCTGGCCCCACCACCTACTTCTCCTCTATCTCACTGCCTGCATTCCTCTTCTCTCACCCAATTCCCCTTTAGTCCACTACCCAAGTTGTCTCTAGCTCTGTCCCCAGTTCACTGCCCGGTTCTATTCTAACCTGGTCTGACTTCCCTTCAACCCTATGCCCATTTCCTTCTCACCTCCATTCAATCTCCCTCTCATGCTACCTGCCAATCTTCCTCCAGACCTTCACCCAATTTCCCTCTGGATCCCGATTTCTCTCCAGCTTGTGCCCAACTTCCCTTTTCCGGCTGCCTGGTTCTCCTCAGCTAGAATTCTCTCTAATCTAACAGCCAGATTCTGCCATACCCAACTTCCTTCTAACTGCCAATAAATTTCACCCTTGCCTATTGCTGTATTATGTCTACGGTCTACTTTCCAATGAGTCCTATCATCTGCTCAGTCCCTTTTCAATCAACTGATAGTTGCCTCAAACACTACTGTTGATTTCTCTTCCTCCCTGTTGCCTGATTTCTTTCTAGCTCTATCACTGCACACTGGTTTCTACTTAGCCTTACCACCCAATTCCACTCTATTTCCTTTTGTAGCAGGGCACTCTGTAGGAGATCTGACTCACATTTTAATCTTTGTTTTATTCCTAGGCTGCTTTAATGAGAAAGGTAGAGGGGGCCCTGTGACTGTAGAAGAGTGAATGTCTAGGACAGCATTTGTCTATTCTCTGCCAGGGAAGGTGCATAGATTTGTGTGACACTAAGGTATGGTCCCGCCATGGAATCTACAATTCAGTAGAATTCACTGTAGTCTGAGAAAGGGAGTGGAATGAGCTCATTGGGTTTCCAGGACTGAAGAAGAAATTAGGATCCCTTGAGTTATGGGCCTTGAAGAGGGAAAGGGGATTCAGGGACTAGGTTTGCAAGATGCTCACCACAGCCCTTCTGAGGTCCAGACCTCTGCAGCCAAGCCTCAAGGACTGCACCCTTGGTCCAACCTGGCAGTGAGGACAGGATGTCATCCACAACTCTCCATGCAAAGTGAGACCTCAATCAAAAATGTCAGCGGCATCTGGGTCACCAGCCACCACTACTGACCATATGTGGCTGCAGCAGATCCACCAGACGCCCTCCTGTTTGGGAGCAGAAGTTGTCACAACCCACCTCTTAGAGTGTGGAAGTCCCAGGCTTTGAGTTTGCAACACTGAAGGGGTGAAGGAAGCCTCCAAGAGCTGCAAACTGACTATTCATGCTCACCCAGCTGGTGAGCATTTGAATTTGGTGTAATTTGATTTAGAAAATAAAAGATTTAGGTATCACTATATTAGAATTCCAAACTTGTGGACCACAAGCCGGAAGCCTAATCTCTACTTAACCCCACCCCTAATTTTCCTTTTGACCTTCACCTTGATTTTCTTTGTAAGAGAGCTTCCTCATTCTCACTTCCTTTTGCCTGTGATCCCTGTACCTTCTGGCTTGAACACCCTTTCTTCCTGCAGCCTGGCTTCTTTCTAGCCCTGTCATCCTGAAAATGTGGTTCCTCCTTACCTTTGTTACTTACACTTGTTTTTATTCCCCTTCTGCCTTTTTACTCTCTCTGCCTGCTTTCTTTTACTCTTACTCATGGATTTCCTTTATACTCTCGCTACTTCACTTCCTTTTTATGCCTATTACATTTACTATCGTTGCCTTACTTTTTTTAATCTACGTAGTCATATTCCTTTTAGCGTTTTTTTTTTTTTTTTTTTAGCTCTGTGGCCTGATTTCTTTTTACATTTTCTGCCTAATTTATTTTGCCCTTTTTGCCTGACTTCTTTTTACCACTGCTGCCAGATTTCTCTTGCCCTCTCTGCCTGATTATTGGCCCCCTTGCTGGACAAAGGAGACTTTGTAAACTTTGAAGCTCATTTCTCAGCTGTGCTGCAGTCCGGGACATCGACCTTCAACCCACCCTCGCCCCATGCCACCACACCACCTGGGCTCTGCACCTGTAGACAAGGCTGTCATCGGCTGAGCTGTTGTACTGGATCTGATACATGCGGATGCCTGGGATAGGTCGCTGGTCCGGCCACTGGACAAGGGCTGCTGTGGCCCCCTGCTCAGTCACCTGCACGCCGTGGCTGGCGGGGGTGCCTGTGTCAGCTGCCTTGGCTGAGGCTGAGGCAGAGGCAGCAGAGGGTGGGGTGAGGACATCAGGATCCCCGTCCCGCGGGGGGTCACAGCTGGTGCTGTTGGCCAGCTGGGGGGGTGGGGGAGGACCCACAGTCAGCTCCACAGCAGCTGTGGCCTCGCCGGCTGCGTTGGCCGCAATGCAGGTGAAGATGCCGCCGTCGCCCGGCTCGGTGACCAGCAGTTCCAGCGTCCCATTAGGGAAGGCGCGGGCACGGCTTGAATTCCCTAGCAGCCGGCCCTGGGGTGACACCCAACGCACACGGGGCTCAGGGTCCCCCACTGCCCGGCAGCGCAGGGCAGCTGGCCGACCCGCAGGCACTGCGAGGGGCGGCGAGCGGTGAGTCACCACGGGTGGCTCGCACACGAACTCCTCCTCGCCCACAGCCCAGAAGTAGCGGCCACCCAGAGCAGGTGGCGAGGCACAGGCCTCAAGGTCATCCTCCCGCGCCAGCCGCCGCAGCCACACCAGCTCACAGTTGCAGTGCAGGGGGTTCCCACCAAAGGCCAGCACCAGGGCGGAAGCAGGTGAGCCACGGGGCCGGGCGAGCAGTGGCAGGCGCGAGAAGAGTGGGTCGGGTGGGATGGTGGTCAGGCGGTTGGAGGTCATGTCCAGCCGTGCCAGCTTGTGCAGGCGGGAGAAGGCGCCGGCAGGGACGGAGGCCAGCAGGTTATGATCAAGGCCCAATGTGTTGACATTGCCTAGGCGGCCCAAAGCCTCCCAGGGCAGCTGCTCAAGGTTGTTGTAGGAGAGGTCGAGGTCCTCAAGTGTCTCAGCACAGTCGTCCAGGGCACCGGCGGCCAGGGCTGCCAGCTGGTTGTTGCTCAGGATGAGGTGGCGCAAGTTGACCAGGCCGCGAAGCTGACCCTCTCCCAGAGAGGTCAGCCGGTTGCCATCAAGGTGCAAGGCGCGCAGGGCGCGAAGATCAGCAAAGGCACCGGCCGCCACGTGGCGGATAGTGTTGCGTGACAGGCTCAGGTGCAGCAGGCCTGTCATGTTGGCCAGGTCGCGGCGGCGCACAGCTGCAATGAAGTTGTCTGCCAGGCGCAACTCAGCTGCTCGGCGGTCCAGTGAGGGTGGCACGAAAAGGAGGCCAGCCCCTGGGCACAACACGCTTAAAGGCAGTGACTGTGTCTGGCAGCGGCAGCGGCGGGGGCATGGGCTGGGTGTGGCTAACTGGGGTGGAGATGAGGCAGGGGCTAGTGGCAGCAGGCAAAGGAGCAGCGGGAGGACGGCCATTGCGGGCAGAGGCGGCCTGCAGGGAAGGGGAGAGGTGTTAGGTAGGCTGGGACCGGAGGAAGGGCACCTGGGGGGGTCAGGGCAATCAGAGAAGGTCACAAAGGGCTGCAACTGGAAGAGACTGCCAAAGACAGTCAGAGAGAGAGGTGGCCACACATGGTCAAAAGCCAGCGGGGGTGGCCAAAGACCTGGACAAATCTGTTCTGGGTGGACAGGGGGCAGGAAGAAATGAACAAAGATGGTCGCAGAGAAGGAAGGTGATTAGAAATGGTCAAAGATGGTTAGAGAATGGGAGAGTTGGTCAGGGTGGGTAGAAACTAAAACAAGGCTTTGGAGGTGGTCAAAGAGAGATGGTCAAAGATGATTATAGAGAGAAGAGGTGGTGGGGGTGGTAGGAATGATTAGAAGTGGTCAAACATGACCAGAGAGGGGAGGTGACTAGAGACAGTCAAGAAGATGAGAGGTGGACAAAGAGAAAAGAGGTGGTCAAGGGTAGTCCGATTCAGGAGAGATGGTCAAAGATGGTCAGAAACAGAAGTGCTAGAAATGATTAAAAGCTAGAAGAGGTGGTCAGAGAGATGGGGAACAGATAGATATGCCAGAGACAGTCAGAGACCAGGGTGATGGGTGTCAGCAGAGGTATCAGACAAAGGAAAGGTAGCCAGAGATGTTAGAGCACCAATGATCAAGAGAGAGGAGAGGTGGTCAGTAAAGGCCAGAGAGGATCAGATGGTTGGAGACTGGGAGTTATGACCAGGGCTGGGAAGAGGTCAAGGAGAAATGGTGAAAGATGGTCAGAGACGGAAGAGGTAGACAAAGGCAGCTGAAGAAGAGAGAGGCAGCTGGAGAGAGGAGTGCTACAGGGTTTCCCCTCAAAGAGGGTCAGAGGTGGGGACAGGACAAGAGAGATGGTGAAAGATGACAGAGCAGTGAACAGATCTCAGTGATGGTCATTGAGAGACGTGGTAGACGGGCGGCTGGAGAGAGGCACTGTGGACAAGGATGCCAGAGATGGTCAGAGAGAGGAGAGGTGAATGGAGGTGGTCATTGAGAGCAAAGATGGAGAAAGGAGACTGCAGAGAAGAGATGGACAGGAGAGGTGGCTGGGGACGGTCAGAGCAGTTAGAGAATGTGTGTGTGGGGGGGTGGGGGGTGAGCATCAGTGACCTGGAGATATCATCAAGTGGAGAAAAGGAGGTAAGAGAGGGCCAGGGCTAGCTGTGTCCAAAGAGCGTGTTTGGAGAAGGAGCTGGAGTCAGGCCTATGTGCTTGTGTGCGTGGGTGTTTCCTGGGGATACCCTAGGGTTCTGAGAGGGCCCTGACCTCACCTACCTCCACCCCTAGTCACAAATCTCCTCCCAAGCCCCTCCACACCACAGGGGTCTCCCAGGAGTCTTACCTGAGCTGGAAGCTGCCCCAGGAAGCAGAGTCCTCAGCCTCTAAGGAGGTCAGAAGTCAGGGCTCTGGAGATGAGGTCTGGTCATAACTTCCCCGGCCCTAGGACCTCTGTGGGGCGATTGTCCACTGTGTCTCAGCTCAGATCTGCAGCCATGGAAAGGGGTCCCAGACTCCCAATTATTGGGCCCTAGGGTCCAATTTTAGAGACCCAGGCCCCTGTCGAAGTAGTTCTGGGTCTGATTCTGCCAGCTCCAGTCCTGGATGGTCCAACAGCCAAATGGGAAGTTTACAGGTCTGAGTCCCAAGCCCAGAGTCCCGGGATCTGTCTGATACTGAGGAAGTTCTGGGTTCAGCTACTGGGGTGCTGAGTCAAGATTTGGAAGTCTCTAACCCCAGCATTCATGTCTGCAGCAAAGACTTCAGGGCCAAATTCAGGTTTAGACCCCTCCACGTCCCATGGGTCAGATGGTGAATCTGAGGCCTAAATCTCAGAGTTCAGATCCCCAGTAGGAGCGTCCCAGAGTATAGAGCTGGGAATCCTGTCCCAGATTTCGAGGTCCCAGGCACAGAATTCAGAGTTCATTCACAGACTTGAGGTTTAGGTGCCAAATACTGGGGTTCTTGTTCCAAATATGGGAGTTCAGGTTCCAAATCTTAGGGTTCCAGGGACCAGATATTGGGACTCCAGCCCCAGATATTGGAGTTAGGGCTCCAGGTCTTGGTGTCCCACGGACGGATCTCGGGCTGCTGGCCCCAGATCAGGGTCCCAGGCCCAGGTTTCCCGATGTCTGGATCCAATCTTGGGGGTCAGGCCCTCGATGTTGGGGTGCACGCTCCGGTTCTGGGGCGGTGGCGTCCTGGCCTGCTTCCCAGGCTGCGGCGGGGGCGTCTAGGAGGGAGGGGGGTCGGCTGCGGTGGAAGGGGAGGCGGCCGGGCAGCACCGGGGCCGGGGTGGGGCGAGGCCTGGGAGCTCACGGACAGACAGACAGGGACATGCCGGGTGGGGTACCGCAGCGCGGACCAGAGCACAGGGGGGAGGGGCCGCGCTTAGAGACCCCTCCCCCGCCGGGACCGGGGGCGGGGGCCGGGCGGGGGCCGGCAGGCTGGCCGGGGCCGGGCGCTCCCGCGGCCTCCTCGCGGGGAACCCAGGGCTGCGCGCGCCCGCGCTTAAAGGCGCAGGCTCCGCGCGCACCCGCGCTTAAAGGTGCAGGCAACCTCCCCACCCACCCCCTCTCTCCAAGGCGCGCCCCTGGTCCCGCCCATGGAGTCGACCTGGTGTTGCTGGGAGCAAGAATCCCTGGAGACAGAGAAGGGGAAGGAAGAGAAATAGACACAGAGACAGACACACAGAGGTAGAGAGACAAGGAGACAAAAGAGATGGGCTGACTTAGATTGAGAGATAGAGAGGAAAGAATGAGAGAAGCAGAAAGACAGAGATATAGAAAGACACACATATATTCAAGGAGAGATGGAAACACCCAGACTTAGCAGGAGATTCAGAGAGAGACAGACAGACAAGGACAAGTCAGAGGTAGCAAAGATAGAGACATGGAGACAGTCAGGAGACAGACACACACACCATATATATTATGCAGCGCCTGGAGTGACTGTGCTGTGATGTTGGGAATGCTATGTGTGTGCTCTGTTCACTGACAGCCTCGACCATGGCCTTCTGTCCAAGACTCCTCATCCCAGAGCCACCCCCCTCCATCAGCCTGTCTCCTGCTTCCCCTTTGTCACATCACCACCACCCTTGGGTGTCCTTTCCTAAGGTAGAGTCTTACCTGGGCCCTGCTCAGCAATAGGCCTTGTCTTTCAGGTCAGTGGGGGAACTCTGCTTCTTCCAAAGCTTCTTTGCCCTGATGGCAAGGGGGAAACTTGACTCCAAGACCTTCTGCCTACCAGGATAAGGGCTAGACCTCAAGACACACTGACACCAGAGAGGAGGGAGAAGATAGGAGATGAGACAGAGGCAGGGGGATGGCCAGGTTGACCCAGAAAGGTGCCCACTGTCTTTCCTCCTCCCTCCACTTGGGTCCACTGCCCCACACAGGACCCTGCTGGAATTGTGCCAACACCTGACTCACTTGGAGTGGTGTCTGCCTGCCCTGATGCTTGTGAGAGATGGGGAGGCCCACATGTCTCTTGGCAGATGGTGTGGCAGGAGGCGGGGTGCCCTATAAGATTTGTCTGGGAACTTGGATCTGGAAGTGTAAGGGGCCTAATCTTTTGGAAGCTCTGATCTGAAATGGACCCAGCCTTGCCATGGGTAGCCTGAGGGGGATGCAGTCCTACCCTGAGGGTCACCAGGGGTCATGGCAACCACCTCCAGGAGCCCCCGTCTAAGTGGAGGAGTGAAACAACCTTGTAGGGAGCAGGGGGCTTGGAAATACATCCACTCTGGCATCCCTACTCTACTGAAGGTTTAGAACAGATTTTTGGCTCCTTCCATTTATGTGTATTGAATAATTGCAGCTAAAATTAACTCAGGGCCAGGGCCTGCCTTTCCAGATCATTAACAAAGTTCATCAGCGCTCCTGGCCCAGCGCAGTGGACACTGGTCACTCAAAGACAGTCAGAAAGAGACCACAGAAGCTCGAGACATGATGGAGGTGGCAGGGTGGGACAGACAGAGGGAAAGACATGGAGACACTCCCAAGGGCAGGACTGGGATTAGGAATTGGTGGAATTGGCTGACATGGGGGTTGATCCCAGGAAACAGGGGCAAGGGATGGGAGGAACTTGAGGCAAGGGAGGAAGGGAAAATAGAGGGCTCATTAATGGGCAGGTTACTGCTCTGGACAGCTGGGGCTCAACCTTGTGGAACACACATCAGCATTGTCCTCCTCCCCTGCAAAGTTCAGAGAGGCTGGCGCATTTATCCACCAATTGTTACCCCTCTTTAGTGATTGTCCCTGCAGAGCAGGGGGACAACGGTAGTGTCCAGGGTGATCTGAAGGCTGAGGTAGAAGAGCAGAGAGGGACACGTGCATGGGCTAGGCCAGCGCGCTCACACTTCAGCGGCAGCAGGACCACCTGGAGGGCTGGATGACACAGACATCTCCAGGCTGCAACCCGCTGGAGTTTCTAATTCAGTAGAGCCAAGGCCCAAATGCTTACATTTCTAACAAGTTCCCAGGTAATGCTGACACTGCTGGTCCAAAAACCAAAGTCACTGCCACTGAGTCGATTCCAACTCACAGGGACCTCCTTTGGGTTTCTGAGGCGGGAAATCTTTACAGAAGCAGATCCCCCAGTCATGGAGTGGCTGGTGGGTTTGAACCACCAGCCTTCTGGTTAACAGTCAAATGCCTTAGGCACTGTGCCACTAGCGCTCTTTACTGCTGGTTCAGGAACCACATTTTGAGAACCACAAGGATGAGCCAGGACCATCTGCAATGTGCATGGAATTGTCCACCAGAGACAAGTTAAAATCTGTGCCAAAAAGTATTTAGAGACCTAAGGAGGGATTGAGAAATACAGAGAGGCAGAGGCAAAGATGCTATTGTTAGTCCAACAGTTACTGTGGATTTCTGGCCGTGGTTGTGAGCTAGATGACACTGCAGTAAAAATAGTGACCAAGACAGCCCCAGGCCCTGCCTTTCCCAAAAT